GGCGGGCGTCGCCCCCGGAACCGCATCGCGTAGCCGCTGCGCTGCCGCCTCGCGGTCCGGCAGGCGGGCAACGCGGTGCAGACGGTAGAGATCGTCGAAGAGTTGCTGCGGCGTCGTGCCGCGCGCCGCACACGACTCAACAACGCGGTCGACGGTCTTAACCTCCGCGAAGTTGAAGATGCGGAGAAACTCGCGCAGGTCGCTCTTGTCGAGCTCTGTAAAGGTCGCCACCATTGCGAGGCACACCGCCAACACCACTACCACACCACCCTACTGCTACTAACTGTGTGAAGAGTTCCCCCCTTTTTATTACCGTTAGTATTATTATTATTATTATTGTGTGAGTGTGTGTGGTGTAGGACGCAGAATGATGGGTGGATAGGGGAGCGAAAGAACTGTTCCGGTTGGCGTGGGTGCACACTCGCCTCGTATTCGACCCACACACAAAGTAACTTTGCACGTTCCTCTTCCTAACAACAACAACAACAACAGCAGCAGCAACACCAACGAAGTCAATTACGCGTCGACACACCATACCAGCGACGCGCCGTGTCAGATTATGCCCCCGCCAGGGTTTGGCCGCTGCCGCCGATGACGCTCTTCGTTTGTTCTCTCTTTTCCACTTCACTACGCCACGATGCAGGCAATGTCGAAGAACGGCGCTGCTTCTGCTGGTTGCACAACACCGCGCTCTGTTATGATACCGCCCGTGATGAGCGCCGCCGGTGTGATGTCAAAGACGGGGTTCCAAATGCGCAGCTGCGGCCCGTTCGCCACCACGCGCTGCCGCGTAACCATGTTGTGTGTAATCTCCACCGTTTCGCGCTCCTCAATCGTGACGCTGTCGCCGTCGGGTGTGTTTGGGTCGAGCGTTGTCGACGGGGCTGCAACAAAGAAGGGGACACGGTGCTGCGCGGCCGCAACGGCGAGGCTGTACGTGCCAATCTTGTTCGCCGTGTCGCCGTTCAGGCAGACGCGGTCGGCGCCAACAATCACGGCGTCGATGCAGCACGACCGCATCAGTGCGGCGGCGGCGCTGTCGCAGAGCAGCGTGCACGGGATCTGCTCCTGCACGCACTCGTAGACAGTGAGCCGCGCGCCCTGATTCCACGGCCGCGTCTCGCACGCGTACAGCTGCTCGAGGCGGCCGTCGTAGAAAAGCTGCCTCACAACGCCGAGCGCCGTGCCGTAGCGCGACGTCGCGAGGGCGCCAGTGTTGCAAATCGTCAGCACACGCACCTTCGGCTTCTGCGCGAGCTTCAGAATGTGCGCCGCCCCGTGGCGCATGATACCCTCGTTGTAGGCGACGTCGTCGGCGTAGATCTTCTCCGCCAGCCGGACGCAGGCCTCCACCATCGCCCCTGGTGTGTGGGCCTCGACCGCTGCAATGTCGCACTTCATCTGCGTGAGTGTCTTGGAGAGATTCACGGCGGTCGGGCGCGCCGTCATAACGGTGTCGCAGCTCGCCAGCAGAAACTGCCGCGCGTCCTCCGCAGACTGCCAGGCGTCTGGTCGCTGCTGCAGCTCCCGCTCAGCGGCGACGGCGATGGCGATGGCGGCGCTCACGGCGATGGCGGGTGCCCCACGCACGCGCATCTCCTTAATGGCGGTGCAGATGTCCTCAATGGTACGGATGTCATCAAACACCGTCCCGAATG